TTAATTTTTAGGTTTTAATAGGGCCTTAAATTTTCGATGTGACCTCTACCTATATTAATCCAAAATGGTACTAAACCCAAATACTGTTTAAATAGGAGTGAAGACATGGGTTTGTCCAGCCACGCACCTATACACACCATTAAGAAATTTATACAGAAATTGATGAATGGAGTTGTAACACTCTCATTTTTTTGTTTTTATTAATTTCAGGGATCAAATTATAAAATTTTAAACCTTGGGGTTAGTTTTTAAAGCTTTTGGAAGTTCAGTGACCTAGCTCCAGATTTAACTCTTCTTTGCCTGAAAAGAAAAATAATAATAATAAAATGTGTATGTAGTTAGGGATTAAACATTTGACCAATTAAACTATCACCTTAATCCTTAACCATGTAGCTTATATCATTATCGTTGATGGGTTTAAGTAAAAATATTTTTTATTTATCTGGTTTGGGATTTTGAATCACTGAAATTTGAAACCAAATCCCAAAATCGTAAAAATCCTTAAGCTCTCACCAACCCCAATCGTGGCCTTTCCATTTATCGATCTCCAACTGGTGGTGGAATGTACTGCCACCACCACCTTGTTCCCCGTCGTCCCTCAGTTAAAAGTCCTCTGTCAATTTTTTGATAACCGCTGTTGATCTTCATGAGAGGCCTCGGGAAAGTTTCGTTGAAACCTAAGAACCCATGTTTTTGTTTTTGCTCGATTACAACCACCATAGGTGACCGCATGTTGTGTCGTCGCCACCAATTGACTCACCGTTCCACGTCGAGCAAAATTCGACTGACCTCTCTCCGTCTAAGCCCATCGTTCGTCGTAAATCTACTGACAAAGCCTCAACGGAGAACTAAACCCACCATCGTTGTTTTTCGTGTTTTAACGTCGATCATGTCGTCGGTTGGCCTCACCACCTTCATCATCGAGTTCCTATCTCCGTTCCGACCATAACCTGACCGGTATCGTCCCCTTCCATTGTGTCATTCGCCGTCAGCTGTTGAGGGTAAGAGTTTGTTCTTTCTTCGTTAATTTATATTGATTTTGGTTGATTTATGGATTGATTCAAGTTGTTTTTGGTGAATGGTGTCGTTGGGAGGAATCAGTCGCCCCTCCTCGTCCCTGTCGTCGTCGTACGCGCTGCCACGCGCCACCACCACATGTGGTCGTTGTTTCTGTCGAGTCTTCTAGATGACTGAGTCAACTCGTCTTAGTCACCGAGTCAACTCGCTGAGTTGAACTACCCGAACCAGTTTGTTTTTTAGCCAAGCCGAGTCGTTAAAGCCTTTGAGCCAAACCGTTTAAGTTTCTAAGCTGAGCCGTTGACCGAGCTGAGCCGTGGTGACCGATCTGTTGACTAACTGACCGTTGACTTTGACCAAAAAGTCAATTGTTTTTTAAAAAAACTCATATTTTATGTTTTTATATGCAGTGAATCCAAATCTGAAGTCTGTTTCATCAAATTTGAACCTTGTAAGCTATTTTTGCAGTGTTTTATCTTTCGATTCAAATAGTGTTCATGATTAAGTTTCGTTTCCGAAGTAAATTTTTTTGCTATGTCATCGAGATATTATGGGACGTCGAAATCAAGTGTGAGAGCATTCGAAAGGATTTCAAATAACTACTGTTGTTGCTTGAAAATCGAGGTAATACTTTACTACCCTATACACACTTTACGGTACATGTTGGTAATTGAATGATGCATGATTTATAACGTTTAATCAAGTAAATTTCGTTGAATATTCTTAAATTCGTACTGAATATGGTGAAATGATATTAAATTGGTTAAGACTCGAACTGAGTACGGTATATAGTTGGTATACTGAATAAGACTCGAATAATTTGCTTAAGAAATTGAAAGACCGATAATAAAGAAATTCATGATCAACAATAGACCTGAGAATATGTAAATTTCGATTATTTTCTTTTAAGGTTGAGTTCCAATAATACTTGGATAAGAAATTACAAAAATAACCCTATAGAGTAAAATTACGAAAATGCCATCATACTGCAAAAATACCAATATTGCCCATGATAGTGAAAAATAAAAATGAAATGACATAATTGAACAAATTACTAGAAAAAGTTCATATGTTTGGATTGAACAGAATTACCAAACTGTTCTCGAGCTGCGAAATACCTTGAACTCTAAAGGACCAAAGTAACCTCGAGTACGAAAATGACTCAAATATCCTCATGACCTATAAATAAGTGAATGTTATTGGATAATTCTAGAAATATCGAGAAATCTAATTATTGTGCCGCCCCTCAAGACTATCGAGACGACCCAAGTACGTCGGTCATCTTGGAGACCATTGCAATACATAAATAACAAAAAATCATCGGAATACGTACAATTCCTCAAGATCCATTCAACAATGGTTCTGAAGATGATTAGTTTGATTAGTGTTGTCGGTATTAAAGAGTGAATATTTTTGAAGTGTATCGATTCGAGTTGTTGACAGTTATCACAATGTTGGAATTTATTCAGCTCGAGTTGACTCGATTTCCTAACAAATCGACATGAATCTTGAATATCATAAATCATTGTTTCACCCTTATTGAATTAATTTTCTAAGAATCTACTAGAAATCAAAGTGTCCAAAATACCCCTGATGTCCTAAATAATGGAATCACTCTGGTTATATTTGAAATCTTTATTTATTCTGATATAAAGGTTCCTAAATACCTTTCTGATATACCTTTCTGATACCTTTCTGATACACCTAACAAATCGACATGAATCTTGAATATCATAAATCATTGTTTCACCCTTATTGAATTAATTTGCTAAGAATCTGCTAGAAATCAAAATGTCCAAAATACCCCTGATGTCCTAAATAATGGAATCACTCTGGTTATATCTGAAATCTTTATTTATTCTGATATAAAGGTTCCTAAATACCTTTCTGATACACCTAAAATCTTAAATGGTCCTGAAGCATCAATCTCTGGATGTATGTTTAGATCCGTTAGCAATTAAACCCTTTTAATAAGGACCTCGATCCTAAAATCCGATCAATTTTGAGTAAGTTCATATTTTCTATTCTTGATAATTTCCTAGCGCCTTCGAAAAATATATGGATCCTCTAGTGTGTTCCCTATTGACAAAAATGTTTTCTCTGATTTATATAAAATATGATTTCTGATTTATGACACGATGTACAATTAACTCCTGATTTCTAATATTATTGTCTAATATCTGATCTATTTTATTGGGAGTTCCTTCGGTGTTGTTAGCGAGTGCGATATCTGTATAATTAGGGGGCATGTAGGTCACATTTGATTTTTATACTGAGTCTGGAGCTTGTATGATTTTAATTCTATTTGTAATATATGAATGGTTTTCTTAATTTGTATTTTAATTATAAATTATTTTTATGATTTTACTTTTAACAAAAACTTTAATTTCTCCTGGATTTTTATTGTGGGTCGGTCCGGTGACCCTAATATGACACTTTAGATCAAATCGGGTCACTTGTATCGGTATGAGAGTGTTACAAATTTAATTGAATTTATCATAACTACCCATTAATGCAACATTATTTATTAGAGCTTTAAACAAAATGAGGCACATCATGAATTATTTGAATTCGATTAGACTAAAGTTTGATTAATATTCTAATTGGATGAATTTGATTTATATTTGAACTCAAGTTGAATTCTCAACTACTCAAAATGAATTGCTTGATACTAGACCTACAAAAGTCACGGACAATTAAAAAAAGTAATATACTAAAATTTTATTTTTTTAAAATTAAATTATTAATAATATTAATATTTATATATTTTTAATACAATATAAAACTTTCATGTGTTTAAGGTTTAAGTTAGAATTCTAGTTCGCACTTGAACCTAGTTTAAGTTTGAGCTTAATCGAATTAATTATGAGAATATTTCGAGTTTAAATTTTTTCAAACTCGAGTTGAGTTTGAAAATTTTAATCTCACAACTTTTCGAATCGAGCTCAACATTAAATTTGTTCGAGTCGAGTCCATACTACGAATATATACCATGAAATTCCAACTTTTTTCTTGCGGGCTGACTTTGCAAGACGTTAACTGTTTTTGCTTATCTGCCTTGTTTCGTTTGTATGACTTCGACCTCCTCCATATCCACATTCCAATGTCCTGCGCTACACATCTGTCCTGACATAAATTGGGATGGTAATAACACGTGGTTTAGTTATTATTTTTTTTAAAAAATAATTGGATGAGAAATAAGATCCAAACTCTGAACAAAAGAAATATTAATTTAACTTTTAATTAGTAAGATATTAAAACTATCGACATTTAATTATCATTTTTAAATTTACAGTATAACTATAGATTTTGGGAAAATTAATATGATTGTAAAAGTTTAGAGTGGATGCAACAAAAACAAGATCAAAATTAATTTAGAAATTAAAGTATTAAATCAAAATCAACAGTTCAACTGTTTAACTATACATTCATAAATTTTAGATTAAAATTAAAGCTAACAATAAAACCGATCCGAACCCACCCTGTGGATTGCAATCCATGGACTCATAGCAATGTCAATGACGTGAATGGGATGAAATTATCTAAATCTAATAAATTTTGATCTGATTTAATAAAAAAAATAATTTAAGTTTGGGGATCCGACATAAGTACTTATGTAAATAAAAAAGTCAGTATTAGATTCAAGATAGAAAAAAAAAATTATCCAATTTGATCCAAGATAATTATTATAATGTTTATTTATTTATCAAAAAAATTGTTTTATATCATATGTATTAAATTTAAAATAAATTTAAAATGATTCAAAACAGGAAAACCAACTTGCTCCGTTGCTCGTGCACATCCTCAAAATGGAAGTAAAAGGAATGGTTGGGGATGTTGGCCAGGGCCGTGAGAAATAAAGCAATGGCTGCAGGGCACGAAAACAGATGAAGTGATTTACTGCTTTTCCAACGACCCACCTTACCTCTCTTATTTAACACCTTCACCACTACTCCCCTAGTGTACTCAACTCATCTCCTTTCTCTATCTCAAGTTTCTTCATATTAAAGCTTCAAGCTCGGCAATGGCGTTGGGGACGTATTGCCTCGTCGTTTGCCTGAGTGCGGCGTTGAGCGATGTGGTCTTAGGGAAAGGACCAAACCCTTTTTTACACGAGGGCCGTCGGAATAGAAGAGAAATGGTGCCTGCCATGTTCATATTTGGAGATTCTCTCATCGACAACGGCAACAACAATGCCCTACCTTCTTTTGCAAAGGCTAACTATTTACCTTATGGGATTGACTATAATGGCGGTCCTACTGGTCGTTTCTCCAATGGCTATACCATGGTTGACGAAGTTGGTCTGTCAGTGAACACTTTTTTTTTGTCTCCATTTAAACCCGATTGTAGGCTAATAATGAATGTGCGTGGTCATGCAGCTAAGCTGCTAGGGCTTCCATTGATTCCCGCGTTTTCTGAAGCTTTCGGTGACCAAATTCTTCATGGCGTCAACTACGCCTCCGCGGCTTCCGGTATACTCGACGAAACCGGAGGAAACTTTGTAAGCATTTCTCCTATACATGCACATGATTTTATCTTTTTTTTTTCCAAATTAAGATAATTTATTTCACGTGATATGTAATGTTGCCTATTACTCTAATGTATAACATCTTTTGTTCAGGTGGGTCGAATACCATTTGATCAACAGATTCGAAATTTCCAGATCACGTTGGATCAGATAATGATGAATCTAGGTGCAATCGATGTAGCAGAAGCACTGGCTAAATGCATTTTCTTTGTAGGAATAGGAAGCAATGATTACCTCAACAACTACCTGATGCCAAATTACCCCACCCGAAATCAGTACAATGGCCAACAATATGCCGATCACTTGGTTCAAAAATACACTCAGCAACTCAGGGTATGTTGATCACTTCATCCGACAATCTGATCGCAATATAATATAACATGTCATGTTGAAAGGATAAATTTTGGAAATTTAATTACTCACGCGCAGACACTTTACAATATGGGAGCACGTAAGTTTGTGGTAACAGGGTTAGGAAGAATGGGGTGTATTCCTAGCATTATAGCACAAAGCAATTCGGGACACTGCTCGGAAGAAGTGAACAAGCTGATGGTACCTTTCAATGCCAACGTCAAGAAGATGTTGAACGGGTTTAATGGTGACCTGCGGGGAGCCAGATTTATATACGTGGACGTGGCTCACATTTTCGGAGACATTATAGCCCACCCTAGAACTTATGGATTCAGGGTGGTGAACAAAGGGTGTTGCGGCATCGGGCGGAACAGAGGCCAAATAACCTGCCTTCCCTTGCAAACACCCTGCAACAAAAGGGATGAATACGTGTTTTGGGATGCATTCCATCCCACCGAGAAGGTCAACATCTTAATGGCCAGGAAGGCCTTCAATGGCGACCGTTCCGTTGTTTCTCCCATCAACATTCAGCAGCTTGCCAGACTTTGATCTTTAACCCAATCAAACTACCACTGTATCAGCCACTATTTGGTTTCTTTTCTTTTACTTCTTTCATTATTTCCTCTTTGATTAGAAATAAACGCTACTTTTTGGCTTCACCCTACTATTTCAATACCTACTTTAATTCTTAGCATAGAGTTGCTTAGTAATGTTGAATACAATATGATTATACAACAGAAGAGTAACAACAATAATTAAAATATAATTTTATAAGGTTTGATGGGATTAACTTTTGTTTAAATCATTAAAACAGATATAATGCACGTAAAAAAATTGTATAAATATACAGTTTGATTAAGCTGTAAGAAAATCCTTTTTTGTGAACTCTTCACCGAAGAGCCGTCTAAGAAGTAGGGTTTCTCACTTTCTTGCCCTATTCCGAAGGTTGGCATGATATTTGAGATAGTTTGGAGATCTGGGAAAAAAACTATAATTGAGAAAAAAGAAAGAAAAAAAATCATTTAAGAAAAAAGTCATTGATGGAAGGTATACGGTGGTAGGGGGAGGAATAAGGTGGTGGTGGGTATTTGAAAAAAAATTAAAAATTAAATTTTTGTGGGTAAATTAGGTATAAGATCATTGTTTAAGGATATATTTGATATTTTAGTAATAGTTTAGATGTAAAACTAAATATTAACTTTTTTATTAAGGTTTTCATGTCATCAGTTTAATAGAGATGACAGTAGAGTGACCGTTTTGTTATAAATCGATAAAGTTAGTGGTCATTTTATTACAAATTGATAATGTTAGTGATCAATATGTTACTTTTGAAACTTCAATAGTAAAAACAAAAATCAGCGACCATTTGTGTAATTTACCCTATATAATATGGACCAAGTATTAATTCGGATGAGATCTTTTAAAAGAAGATAAATTGGGATGTAGTTAAACATGATCATCTTCTATTTAAGGGTTTATAAGACCAAGAGTAGTTTAGGAATTGTTTAAATAATGAATAATAAGAGTATGTTAGATTACCATTGAGTGTTTGGATCAACTGACACATAATTATTATAGTTTAATTGTATTTGAACATGACACTTTGAGAATATAATGTCGTTAAATATTTGAGGGGAAATTATTATTTTTATCCCTTTGACCATATACCATTTAACAAAATTAGTCTTTACTTAGATTATTAAAATAAAATAAAATAAAATACAAGTTAAGAAAATGATAATGCATTCTTGTTTTTTAAAATATTAACTAAAATATATATAAAATCATTAAACAATAATTACAAAATAACATTTTGTTTTTTTAATTTTAAAGAAAAAAAATATATAGTATGATGGAGCCTGAGAATATTTCAACTATCAATTTTAAAATATAATGAGCCTGAAAAAAAAAACAAAATCTAAACTTGTAACTGTACTTGAACAAATATATAAATGTCGTAAGTAGTTACTATCCAAACTCAACTCACCCCAACAGCTATACTCCAATAAGATATCGATTCTAAAGATGACAATTTAATCTTAATCCGATGAGTTTCGATCCGATAGAATCAGATTTTTTTTTTAAAAAAAAATTAGGTTTGGGTTGAGTTTTTTTAAGGGAATAAGTCAGGTCGGGCTCGGGTGGAGGATGAAAAACTCTGACCCGACCCGAGGATAATAATGTAATTTCCTTCAATTTTTTATTTTTTAATTGAGTCCTTATTTTATATCGAATCGAGTCGGATTTATACTCTAAAAAATCAGGTCGGGTCGGAGTCGGATGAAATGTATATATTTTTTGGGTCGGCTTTGAGTGGAGGGTGTATATTTTCAAGTCGGGTCGACCAAAAACCCAGACCCGTTTCCATCTTTAATCGATTCTTCCAAACTGTTTCCTCAGCATACATTGTTTTTGTACAACTTAATTTTTGTTTGCATAGATATTTTAGTGAAAGTACAGATATTCGAGTGGATAACTAAATCCAGATATAATGCCCAATTTAGACAAATTTTTATTGTTCGAATTAGTTTAAATTTGAGACGAATCAAATATTAAATAAATCTTCGAGCTTGGATGGATAACTCAAGCCTGGTACAATTCTACTAGATGCTGATTCATGATCAATAGTTGGTATATCTTGGAGCAGAATTTTGATGATTTTAATAAATATAACTGAGAATATAATAAATCTAGAGTTCGGCAAGAAAGATCTGAGAGTTGCATTTCCCATGTATCTGCTGCTAGTCATGGGATTTTAGATACCCTAACCACACAAAGGATTCAAATCATAAAATTCAGTTTCAGATTGAAAATCAAAATGTGTGCATGCTGCTAGCTCTTTCGTCTCTTTAACGTACGCGACGAGCCTTTTCTTCCTGTCCCAACCCGAGTGATTTCTGTGCATTTGCAATACCTTCAGGATCTGTAACAACATACACCCACAGGGTTAGAATTATTTTGTTTACTAAGAGTGCATAGCTTCAAAGAAATTGACGACCATCGACTGCCGGAGGCGCTTTCTAGGACATTGCCAAGATAATCAGGATCAGTTACTCCAACTTTTCACTTTTGTTAAAGTATTTGTATCTATCTTATATATACGGACATGACTAGAAATATCCTCCAATTACAGGGAGAAAACTTATTAGAAAATGAACATACTCGTGTCAGGCATATGCCATATCCAACTCACTCGAATTCTAGCACAGTAATTAAGAATTTCTAATGTTCAGGTGTGCAACTAAACTATGCCGTAAGCTACCAATCAAAATAATTAGACTCAGAAATGGAAAAGACATTTGTGATTAAAAGAGTAAGAATCACGTCTGTAGACGAATATGACCTAAAATCTATGTTACTTGGACTTGACTGTTAGTGTCATACACGAGTATGTATTCAATATGGATACATGTTAAATTTTTTATCCAAGTGTTTACATGTATTTGGGGGAATCTTGGTGAGTCATATATCCATACCATGTCTGCATATGTGTTAGACACATATACGAGTGTTAGACATGAGTACTGAAGAAAAGGATGGGAATCCAAAACAACCCTGATACAGAGCATAATTCATTGATATTTAATGTTCAATATTTGAGCTACCAATTACTTATTTGCAAATAAAAAATCTCACCGAAAAACTGAGTGAATATGCGCGTGAAGAAGCTCAAGTTGCGAGAAACATTGTATGCCATAGCAGGTGGAAGAGGCTTCACAACAGTGTCTATGCTAAAAACTCGTTGCAGAAACTGTATGAGCATGAAAATGTTGGAATACTCAGCTAAGAGGAGAATGAACAACAATACTCAATAGGGACATATAGAAGACAAAAAAAAAAGACAACGGCATTTAGACTTATCAGCTACTAAAATAGAAGTTTGGATCTGCAGAAAACAGTTATTTGTTTCAACAATAGTGTCAGACTGTAATTAAGAAAATAGCACAGTATATATTAACTAGTTCAGTGATATTAATGTTTACCAAGCACAATCATTCTTTTAAGTTTTAACATCAAAATTTCTCCAAGAGTTTATAATTAAAGTAAACTTTTATGATAATTTCCTTTTGCTTACACCAAGGTCCATTAAACAGCACACTTTTGAAGATGACTTCATGCAATAAATGATGCACCATAAGGTCCTAGGAATCCTTTTATTATAATTACCTAATTTAGGAATATTTTTCTTCCTTTTTGATGATTTTATTTTCAGTTGCTTTAAGCAACAATCAAGAGATCAAGGGGGGAAACAAACAGCAGCTGTTTTCTTTGGGTTCACGAAAATCTGCAAAATTGTTCAACTTAAATGCATCCAAGTAGAAAATGAAAAAAAAATGTAGAATGCTGAACTCTGAAAACAAACAAACAAATGCATGAAGAGATTGATGTATTGAGCTGCAACATAATCATGAATGAAACATCCGAAAGTCTGAGAGGTGTTCTGTGGATGAAGAAAGTCTGTGGTGTCAGAGAATAATTTCCTTCCTATGTTCGTTAACATACTTCTTAGTATGTGGACGAATACGAAGGGAGTTTTTAATGAGACCTCCAACTTCTATAAAAAAAAATAAAATCCTAAGGCACTCTTTTCCTCCTTCCGCTGATTAAGGAGCTTCTCTATAATCCCCTCTAATCAAGAAGGAGGTTTTTAATGAGGCCTTCAATTCCTATAAAAAAAAAACATCCGAAAACATGGATATTGAAGAAGCACTAAGAGGTGCTCAACTCGGATTGAAAAATGATGAATCAAGTCCAGGTAACTTAACAAGCAAAGGACTATCCTCAAAATGAGACTAAATTATAGGTTAATGCAATAAAAAAACATTGAATAGTATAAAAAAATGTCATGTTTGTGATAGATATTAAATATGAGCAGAAAACAGAAACTAGGAATTTAAAATATATATACCAGCTCTATGCATGGCACCCATGAGAAGAATATGCAAAACAAAAAGTGTAGGAATGGTTGAATACCCTCTTCAGTTTGAAATACAACAAGATTTGCCATATTGAGATGAAGACTGCAGATTGTGATCAAAATATACAGTCCGCTGATTAACTATAAATAAAGTTGCTCTGATTCTTCTTTCTTGAAGTACTCATGTATGACACTCATGTCCAACACATATCCAAAAATGAATATGAAGATATGATCCTCCAAGGACCTTCTAAGTACAAAGATAAACTTGGGGAAAATAGAACATGGTAAATCTAAGTCAAAAGTAACAAAGACTACAACACCCCTCTCCAAAAACAAGAAGCGTATTTTTAAAGTAGAATGGTAATGTTAAGCAACGCACTTTTCATAAAGGAAAAAAAAAACTGAGGGGCAAAGGACCAAAACTGGGGAACAAAATACTTCTCCTCAACAAGTTTGATGTATAACGTGATTTTACCATAGTTCATATCGTGGTTATAGGGAAGGTATGTCTTTTATGACTCTTTCACTAAAACAGTGGTGTCAGAGAAGTACTCAAGTAATCATTATTAGGCATGCAATTATTCCTCAACCTTGCATCAGTCAAATTTCAGCAGTTACGAAATTGAACATAAGATTGGCTTGGATTCTAGAATCTTAACTTGGGAATACCTTATTGTTTGAATATAAAAAGTAATTAGTATTTTATGATTCTGAAATAGCAAACCAGTCAATAAGAGC